GGTCCATGAATGAGGCTCTTAAGCACTATGGTAGCATAAATAATAATAAAATAATAAGCTACTGCAGGGCGCTTCTTTGCAGGTTTGGGAAACCCAAATGAGAATAAGGTGGCCAGCTTCTCCCTATGAGCTCCTGCTGCTGAGAGGGTTTTTCAGGTGTAACCCCAGCAAGAATTTAGACCCTTGAGGGAAAATTATTCTTTTCTCATGAAGTGGAAGAAAGGCACAGTCCAGAGGCAAAGCTGTTGGCAGGAAAATGTTGGGAGGCATTGCTGGACATGGAAGCTGCCCATGTACAGCTAAGTCCCAAAGAGTTAACGTGTGGCCAGTTGTCCCTGTCGTGACCTGTTGCAACTGTAAGCAAGCACAAAATATTAATAAGCAAAGCCACGGTGTTTTATAGAGCATGTAGGCACCTTGCACCTAGTACAGTCAGTCTGTATTTACACTCGAGGCGTTTCTGCTGGGCAGAGCCTTGTGCCAAATGTCTGAAAGCAGAGCACCCCGTTTAAGGCCAAGCCAGGCCTTGTCCAGAAGGGCTGAAGTGCTCTGTGCCGCGAGCACAGGGCTGGGGTCAGTTTGCATGAGTCATTGAAAAAGTCAAAGTTTATTGCATTGCAGCATTTTCACTTTACCGCAGACGTTTCTATATTTAAAATACAGTGGGACCCAGTCCCTTTTCCTTACCCTTTCTCCAGTAAGGCAACAGCAAGCAGGAAGGGCTGCGCATGTAGGTGCTCACTATATGCAGTCATAGTAACAATGTTGACCTTGGTTTAAGAGCACCGCTTCCACTGCCAGTGCGCTTACATAGCGATCAAGGGTGTGAATGTGGAGGGACATCGGGGAATCCAGAGCCTTGTGATTGCAGGCCCGTTAGCTCACCTAGAGGACTGGCTTTTATGAAAGAGCATGCTCTGGCTGAGGGAAGAAACGGCATGGAGTCTGGAAGCTGTCTGGGCAACAGGGAACCAATATTCTTGTGTCCAAGGGGCTCCTCATGGCAATTGATTGGGGCTCAGATAGAGCCGGGATGGGCCTGAACTAGGGACCTGAAGGGGACAAAATCAACGCTGGGGCGTTGCAAGCAAGTCTAGCACACGGGGACCTATGATCTTTCACTGGAAAATACCAAGCCAAGATTCATTTAGTGATGGGTAGACTCGTTTAGTGAATCCAAATAGGGGAACAGCTAGAAAAACCAGGGGAAGCCACCCAACAGCCAAATTCCCATGGAAGCTGCAGTCCACCCAGTGCCATGGACATGTAGAAGACCCCGGGGCAGAGTCCGAGTCTGAGGAGACGGAGTGGGGGAGGCCTCACTGTGGTGAGACTTGGGAGTAGATCAGTGTTCGCGGGGTGGACGAGTCTGGGTCTGCCGCTACACAGATGAGCAGCTGCTGCATTTGTGGAGCACGGCAACTCCACCACAGTTTTACTCCCCGACTACAACTGCGATGCACAGAGCTAACTTGGTGCTTTCACTGTGTCTCAAGCTTATAGCTTGCTCCGTCAGCAGCTTCTCTGCTGGGGAGGGGACGTTCCTTTGCAAGGGTATTTCTTCTATCCATGATTCCCCACTCTCCATCTTAGTCCAGCAGCGGGGAAGGAGTTTATATGCACAGGTTTGAATTGCTTGAGCTAAACCAGATTGTTTGTTTCTTAAAGGCTCACAGTTAATTCTGATTGATTGTTTTAATTTGCTGCTGCTGGTTTGTTTTCCATAACTGCTGCTTCTAACTGCCATCTTCTCCCTGGTGCCGACTTCTTCTTCGCGTTGCGTGCACATTGCTCTGTTGCCGTTTTTGCATTTAAGTGCCAGGGTCACTGGGATTTATTTTTAGACAAAGGAACAATGAGACCTTTGCTTGTTGGGGTAGGGAAGAAATCACATAGGTGGAATTACATGGACTTTGCAAACAGATTCAAAGAAAAACAACAGTAATCAAATCTGAGGCTGCAAGCCAACCTGACTGGGTTCGAGTTTTACACTGTTACGGCTGATCTCTTTTAAATGCATGTACTGGTCACCGGTGCCCACCTTCCTAGTTCCGTCCCGCACACCCCACCCATCCACCGGTTGTGGCTGCTCAGCCTCTGGTAAGGAGAGTTGCTGCCTTATTATTATTATTATTATTGAACATCACTCTTCTCTTTGAGAAACCACCTGCTCCTTGTCTGACAGGCACTGAAGCTGCCTCCTTGTGATTCCAATATATTAATCACAATGTATGATATCAAAGTGCTGTATTTTGGCTTTTCCTAACTTGTCTCAAAACACCATGTCTGCTCTGTAGTTAAACACCGGGTACTTCATCCCTTATCACTTGGTCTGTGCAGTCTCCACCCACTGTCAGCATGCTCAAGCTGAGATCTTCCTGGGTGTTGCAGGACACACAGACTGGCTCCACATATTCTTTTATGGTAAATAAGATCATTTAAAATATAGTTTGTGTGTTCACTGCTTTTCTGAAAAAAAAGGGCATACAGGCAATACAAGATAATATTTAATTTGACTATTTTGAAGGGTGCTTGTCAGTCCTACAGATTTGCTGAAACAGCTGGAAACAATCCAACAGCAGGGAGATAAACTGGCGAATCAAATAGGGCGTTTCCATCCCTGCAGTCTCAGGTTCATCTATGCAGGTGGCAGAGAGAGTCTGAATGGAAAAAAAAATCAAGCTTCTTGCGTGGCTTGTTGCACATGAAAAATGAGGAGTTCATGTCATGTGGGAAAATGAGGCAGAAGTATTCCCTGTTGTTGGAAAATTGTTCATAAATGTAGGTTAGGAACAGTGGCGGTAACAGCAGACCAGTAACAATAATGGTACTTACTACACATCCCCTAGTTGCTTTGCTTAGTCTATTCCAGCCATTACAAACCCCCTCCTTAGCTATACTATTATATAACGTACCTAGAGAAATTGATAGATACTCTATAAGTAATAGATAGCTTATCATCTACCATATACTTAAGTACTGCCCCTGGATACCAACAAATCAGGAAGGAAATTTATATTTGTATTAAGGATATAGGCTAACACAAAATAGTTCAGACCGATTTCCCTATACAGTGGATTTAAAACATTGGTTTGCTGTATCTGTGTTATTACCACATTGCTGAAGGGGGAAGGCTACACCAGGAATTTAATGATTCCTCAGCTTCTCTCACACACGCCCCCCCCCCCCTTCACTATTAAAATGCTGCATTATTAGCTGTGTGTTCAGGTCTTTCTATCCTCTCTCCTTCTGGAGGCAAAGTAATGACGTGGGCATTTTTCTCATGTTTCCTCCTTGAAAGCTGAATCTGAGAAGGTTCCTTGCAGTACTGTTAAGAGATCTCTTCTTTTGTGGTGCTAATAATACAATTAAACATAGCTCAGAGGAAGTAGAAAGGAAGAAAAAAACCCACCAATCAAATGCTAATTAGTCCTATTTAGGGTTAGGGGGTTACTATATCATTAAACAAGAGCAGCTACTGATTCTGCCAACTCTGTGCAAAAAAACCCCGAACTAGCATGGAAGTAATGGAATACCTGAGTTGTTTTTTTTTTTTTCTCAGACATCATCATGACATGGTAAATGCGGTATTTGCATTAAATGTGTATGTCTACATGGTACAGCATATTGCAGCACAGAGATAATCAAATAAATTCAAAACACAAAGCAGGATATGAGAGACAGAGAGCAAGAGACTAGTGCTTGTGGTACCCAAGCATCACTATGCCATTCAGACACACTCAGTGGGACTGAGGCTGCCCTGCTTGTTTATGATCCAGAATATTTCCCTGATTGATTGGATATTCTCAGACAGAGCCACGCAGGGAGCAGAGATCGGGGCAGAACCGACCTCATAGAGGCTTTTTATTCTTGTTGTAAGTTTCATTAGCATCCATGCCTACGAGGGCAACTACAGTTGTGAATTATTTTGTATACTTGGCTATATTGTGTTAGTCTGAAATAACGTAAGGCATTAGTAGTAGAAAGAAATAAGCTGCAAGGCAAAAATACAATCCAAAACATAAATAGCTGAAGCTTGGACCTAGCTTTAGGCTCGGTAGGGCCACTTTGGGCTCTGGATCTATTTCTTACAAAGAAGTTGTATT